GTTTACTTGTTAACGGTCAAATTAAATTTCATATTTTAAATTCATGACATGTTTTATTTTATTTTTTAACTGTTCAAAATAATTTTATTATTTTATGATAATCGCTTTAGGCCCTTTGTCTTTCTGTTTATTTTAATTTATTGAGCCTTATTACTTTTATAGTTTTTATAAATAATTTTTTTTTTATTTAACTACATGTTTTTTAGTTATGTTTTTTACATAACTACATTATCTTAGAATTCTATATGTTTCTCAAAATATCCCAAGAGAGATCGCTAGTGTACAGATGAGATTTCATACTTCACACTCAATATGTATAGAAAATATATTATCTAGGTAAAAAAGCAGACTCTCAAATTTACGGATTTATTTATGAATAGGAATGTTTTAGTATGCCAACTGAAAGATGATGTATGACTGCTGCGTTTGTGAAAAACAAATTAATTTTTGTGTGCGGTTTTGGAAAACCATATGAATACCCCGAAAATATTGATATCTACAACATTTATACACGTGATTTTGTTATACAGTTATACAATACGCATTTTATTAATACAATATGAAAAGTATACAGGTAGAGATTTATCAGACTTTATGTCATAATTCTTTAAGAAGATTATTATGTATATTGTTTTAGATTAATCATAGAATTGCTTTCATAATTATTTATCAATTTAGTCTTAAAATTGTCTGTCATTAAATAAAACAGTATTTCTTTGTTAATTTTTGCTTTTATATTTAAATATTACATAAATATGTATAGTTGAGTGCGAAAGTTTTTGAATTCTATCTTGCTCTTTATCATCACTAGAGTGAGCCTTCTTATGCAAATATAATAGAGAATGGGCGATTGTGCGAGAGACACTTGTGTGAATCGAGGATATCTACCTTTTTTTTTTGAATGTAGTATATTATAAGCAAACAGACATCTCAACTTGCATAGCTGTCACTCTCGCACAATCGGTCGCCCTTCAAAGCTGGTTCCAGTATGTATGTAGAATTCAGTGGATTTTATTAATGTTCTTAAAGATTTTTCTTTCAATTGGCAGGCTTGTGGACATCGAGTGCAAAGCCACCTTGCCATTTCGGTTGTGTAATTATACCGTTTTGGATGAAAAATTAATCATATTTAAAAAATTCTTGATGATTCGTACAGACATAAATTACTCTGAAAATGATTATGAATCCTACAGTAAGTAAAATGTTAGCAGAATGTTGGCAGACTGGCAGAATTGATGAGAGCAGGTCAGCAAATCGAAAAAAATTTGTTTACATAAACCATTAGATTGACGTCAAATTCAAGCAGATTTGTACAATTAGATAGTAGATTGATAGCGGAAATCAAGTTAAATAGAATGCGATTTTGTGGTTGTTTAAATTGAAATGGTAAAGGAAGGATGGTAAAGGAAGGGTGGAAATTATGGAAATATATTAGGTGTTGGAATTAATTCGTAGCGTTTTTAATGAAAGAATGGGTTAAGCAAATGCTTCGTGGTGGCAACTCGACTACACCCTTAAAAGGTAAAACTGTCCACACAGAAATATGTATCTTGTAATAAAAATGAATATATAATACATTTTTAATGTGAATCTATTGTAAGGAAATTGTAAATAAAACCAGAAGTTTTGCGAAGGTATCAATAAGTATCGATACATAGACCGATTCAGTATCGATACTTTTTTGTATCGATATCAGATACTAAATATTTTTCGAACACTATTGTGCAGTAGGCCAGTTCACATCGACCTTGCCACGGCAATTTTATTTCATGACTTAACTCGAGAAGACGACCACGTTTATTGACGCCTCGTGGAATACCTAGAATAAAAGTGAGTAGTATTAATTTATATGTTTGTTAGTACTCTTCTTAGCGGAAAAAATTATTATTATTTAAATTATTATTTAAATTTTATTTTAGAATGGAGAATAAATGCGTAATATTAAATTTAAGTGGTATTAAATACAAAGTGCAGAAATCGAAATTAATAGTCAAGAGTCAGTATTTTGCTGCTCTTCTATCTGCAAATTATTTAGAATACAATCAAACAGAATACACTATTAAATTTCAGAATATTCTCCAGAATGCATTTGAAGTAAGTTGATTTTAATAGAAATAATTCTTGTTACTGTTTAAAAATAGAATAGATATACAAAAACATTTTGTACAAAAGTTATATCTCAGCAATCTTCAATTTATTTCAATCCATTCTCGTTTGCTGGGTATCCCAGTAAAAAAATTTTACACGTGGTCACGTATAAGTATATATAATTTTACACGTGGTCACGTATAAATATATATAATTAATATTCATATGATTATATCTGACTATACATAATTTCATAAATCTTATTATACATAATTTCATAAATGATTATATATGATCATATATATATATATAAATGACGAAATCAATCAGAGAAGAGAACGCTATCCGCTCCATTATTCTCCCTTGATTCTCTCCGATATCAACCATGGCTAGTTGTCCCCACTACTCCTCATCCCCTAACACCGTAACGCTATCACTCCGTCGTACATTACAGATTTTGGCGAGTGAAAAGAATCATGAAGAATGCACTACGATCGACTCGAATCGATACGTCGATCGGATAATTCCCAATGAGAAATGGAGTCGACATCGAATCGATGTCGATTCGACGTCGAAATCATCAAACCGACGTCGAATAGATATCGATTCGACATCGATTTTATTGTCATTTCTCATTGGGTCCGGGCTCTGGATATTATATATAATTAAAATTTCATATATGATCATCAATGAAATCATATATGGAATTTAGAATTTCAATTAGGGTAGATAGGGTTCAACAGTGAACCGGTAGTACATTATGAACTATTGTGATATTTCGTAAATGTGACGTTATCAGATTGTGCTATCATGTAGCGACTCACATTTGAATCCCTCCTTCGGTTCTCCAGTCGATTGATAGATCGCGCCAAGGATGCCATGTAATATCACATTTTAAGAATTTTGGATTGTAAAGTAAGTTTTTTTCGTAAGTTTTACGTACTTTTTATATTTTTGTAGTTATACCTATCATTTTTTTCATTGTGCATTAGTTTTGCACATTTGGTTTTATTATTAGTAAGCAATTTTTTTCTAATATATTTACTACATTATTTTGGAAATTATCGTGGAAAAGATTAGATAGTCTACAATGAATCATTTTGATGTAGTGAACAATGAACCATGGTTCGTGACTGTAAACCACATAATCTTTTTTATGATATAATATAATCTTCAAAATAATAATTTATTGTGTTAATTATTTAAAATATGGCTCTGCTCCCACAATTATCTATTTTTTAAATAAACATTTTAAAATATAGTGAAATTAAAATAATCCCTACAATTCGCAGTATAAAACATGTAGTTCATTATTAAAAATAGCATGGTTCATTGTATACACACCTCTTTTATACAATGAATTATTTCCCATTTTTTGAAATAATTGAAATTCTGGCTAAATTTAAAAAATAATTTAAGGGTTACTGCTCACAGTATGTAGTCAACTAAATTCATAAACTGTATGCCAAAACTCAGATCTTCAACTCAATAATTGAGAAAGATAAGCCTCTGAAATTTACATGGTACATTGTTGGACCACTTATACTATACATATATGATCATATACATATATGAAATTTTATATTATACAAGATTCTATATATGGTTACTTATGCTTTTATATATTATAACCATGTTTGAAATCATATATGATCATATGAAATCTGCATATATGATCAAATATAATTTCATATATGATCATACATAATTAAGTAGTAACAATAATCGATTTGAACCGAAACCTGGTCTCCTCCATAATGGTAGATTTTTGTCCTGCCATTTTTGCACTGAGCCACACAATCCTGATGCTGATAGCTTCTCTGTTGTGCCTATTTCTAAGCCTGTGTTTAGAAACATCATCCGAGTGCTCCCATGTATCATTTTATTTTTATTATTCATCCATTAAACAAGAATAAGATGATACACAGGGACACTCGGATGATGTTTTCCAACGTAGCCTAAATTTTTCACACTATAATCATGAAAATAGAGTAACCTATATAAAAATTTATGAAATAGTTATTTTATCTCTTTATTTTTATTTATCGGTAATATTTATTGTACATTTATTAAACATCAGCAACAATTCATGACATGAATAGTGTCTAAAAAACATAACGAATTACCCGGGAAAAATGTTATATATATATATACGAGTACATTTCCATCTAATGTATGTAGAGTAGAAGAATAAAGAAGATTTGTTAACGTACATATATTGAACAACTGTGTATTAGCTCGTAGTTGCCTAGTTTTTTGTAAAATTATATTTAAAATAAAAAATAGTTCTGGTAACTACTCTCACACAATGGTTCACAATTTTCTGAATTTTCAATGAAAAATGTTTTAATTAGTATAAAAATCTTGAGAAAAATTTTTATCAGAGATATATCCATTCAACTTTTAAAATGTTTTTTTATATCTTTTATATTTTTCGAGATATTATTCTACATTATGCATGTACAGAAATTACATAGTATGTCCAGATCTGATTGTACAAGCGATTTACAATTGTAATTTAAAAACATATTATTACTTTTACAGGATTTTGTTGATTGGATTCACAATGATAAAGTTGATATCTTTACAAATTGTTGGGATATTAAAAAATGTGATCGGCTCTCTATCCTGGTAGAATTAAGTATTTTATTTGCAGTAAATAACCTAATAGAATACTTAATCTATAAAATAGAGGAAAAATTATATTTTATGCCACCAGAATATGTAATTAATTTATGGTTATTATCACAAGAATTGGGTTTAAATATCCTCCGAGATGTTTCATTTGCATTTTGCTTAGATCGTTTCGCTGATCTACCACTTAATTCAATTTATGAACTGTCGAAGGAAAATTTTCTTAAATTAATTGGGAATATCAATATAACATCCACGAAATCTTATTTGCGTAAAGTCACAAAAAAATGGATGGACTATCATAATGTAAGTACAAGCATATTATTTATAAAAGTAAAACTTTAAAAATAAAAATGGTATATTCTCCTAAATACGAAAAATGCCACTTAAGTTTCTCTTTGAACAGTAGAACGTTTCTGATAAATCTGATATTTTTGGGGGCAGAAAAAAAGATCGATTTCCACACAAAAATTTAGTGTATAGGGATATTTGAGGTTCCTAAAAAAGAATTTGTAATAAAAATTAAAATGACTGATGCAATATGTCGGACTAAAAACTCTGCTATCAAAGTTTTACAGTAGAACTACAATCTCGTATTTATTTATTTATTAAAAGCAAAAAAGGAATTGAATCTAAAATAAATCTAACTGAGATGTAAACTCATCTCCATTCTAGCATTTAATGCTAGAATTTGATCCTGAATATGTTTTGGCTTCGTTAGATATAGTATCCCTTTTTACTAATATTCCTGTTGAGCTAGCATTAAATAGCATCGATAGGAGATGGGTTTACATCTCAGCGAAGACAAACATCTCAAAAAACGAGTTTATTATTGCAGATTTTTTAGATTCAACCTTTTTTGCTTTTAATAACAGAACTTACAAACAGGTATTCGGCACTCCAATGGGTTCACCGTTATCTCCGATAATTGCCATTGTAATGCAAGATCTAGAAAAAATAGCACTTAAAAAATTATCAGTACAACTATTGTTTTATTTTATATATGTTGACGATGTCATTCTTGTACTTCCATCTGATACTATCAATGACGCTTTAAATATTTTTAACTCTTTACATACGAGATTGCAGTTTATTTTAGAGATTGGTTCAAGTGGCAGATTAAGTTTTCTTGATACAATGCTTGTTAGATAATCAGAGAATTATATTTGACATTTATCATAAAAAGACGTTTTCCGGAAGGTTCCTTAATTTCCATTCAAATCATCCTCTTTACCATAAAAAAGGCGCTATCATCAGTTTCATTGACAAAATTATCCTCTTATCACATCCACGGTTCCAACAAAAAATCTGATAGATGCTATTCATACTTTTTTAAATAATTGTTATCCTCTTCTATTTATCTTCTCTACAATTGAACGAAGATTAAAGTTTCATATAAATAATAAATATATTACACGTAATTCACGTGAGAAAGACAAATATTTTACGATTCCTTACGTTAAATCTATTTCTGAAAGTTTCCTTCCTATCTGTAGTATGTTCCATTGTAACGCATTTAATATTTTGTTAATCTAATATTCAATTAATTATATTTTCTGAATTTGTAATTGTGCTTATTAAAGAAATTCTTTTGTTAAAATTACAAAGAAAAGGAGTTCTCTTTTCTGTCGTGTATCATATCAACCGTGTGCCGTTCTTTCACTCGAATCTTTCCGCGCAGTGCATTCCCGCACAATATATATATATATATAATGTATGACAGTACTTCACACTTTCTATCGGCATTAATGACTCTAATGTACATGTCTTAAAATATTAGATTGTTTTTTTGCCTTTTTATTTTTATTTTTATTACTTGGGACTCGTTTTGTAACTTTCTTTTTATTATTTGCGACTCGCTTTGTACTTCTCTTATAATTTTTATTTTTTATTCCTGTCATAATTTATAATTACATTTTGTACTTTTTAACATGTTCGTTCTTATTTTACATACACAATCCGGAGGAATACATTGTTGTCGATTACAACTTTCGTATAACTTTCATTTTATTTTGGAGCGAGATTTATATTTGATACTGCGATCGAGAGTGAATTTTAATTTTTATATATCTTATCCATGTAATATTTCTATTGTTATTTTTGCTACACATTGAAAATGATTCAACAGGGACCGAAACGTTTGTGTTGTTTACTTGTTAACGTGTTGTTCAAATTAAATTTCATATTTTAAATTCATGACATGTTTTATTTTATTTTTTAACTGTTCAAAATAATTTTGTTATTTTATGATTATTGTTTTAAGCTCGTAGCCCTTTGTCTTTATTTTTGTTTTAATATATCATAATTCTGTATAATAAAATTTATTCTTAACCATTTAGAATTTTTTGTAATAACAATTTTTTTCCAGGATTTTACAATTCCTTTAGATATCTTAAAGAATAAGGAAACAAAAATACTACATAGTATTGTATCTTGTGAAAACAGATACTATAATTCTTCACTAATAGTGGTGGACAATAATACTGAACAATTTATTCATTGTTGGGATGGTAATGATTTTTTTGAACTTACCTCATTTAAATATCCCCAAGATATTCTTAATAATTGTAATAGTTACTATGAAATAGTGGGGATGGAGATTATTGGAAGAAGTATGTAGCCTTTTTTTGACTTTATTCTGTTTTATCTATAATATTATCTTGTTCAATATTTTATATAATTTATTTAGGATACAATATTTACTTCTGTGGTGGAAAATTTGACTACGAGATATTTAATAAAAATATATGGCGTTACTCCTTGATATCTAAAAAATGGTTCCTTGAAACTACGTAAGTATCCTAATGCATTCTTAATTAAATGATCACAGTAATAAAATAAATAGTATTATTTGTTAAAATAATTTCTACAAATGTTTTAGTATGCCAACTGAAAGATGGTGTATGACTGCTGCGTTTGTGAAAAACAAATTAATTCTTGTGGGCGGTTTTGGAAAATCATATGAATACCCCGAAAATGTTGATATCTACGACATTTATACAGGTGATTTTGTTATACAGTTATACAATACGCATTTTATTAATACAATATGAAAAGTATACAGGTAGAGATTTATCAGACTTTATGTCATAATTCTTTAAGAAGATTATTATGTATATTGTTTTAGATTAATCATAGAATTGCTTTCATAATTATTTATCAATTTAGTCTTAAAATTGTCTGTCATTAAATAAAACAGTATTTCTTTGTTAATTTTTGCTTTTATATTTAAATATTACATAAATATGTATAGTTGAGTGCGAAAGTTTTTGAATTCTATCTTGCTCTTTATCATCACTAGAGTGAGCCTTCTTATGCAAATATAATAGAGAATGGGCGATTGTGCGAGAGACACTTGTGTGAATCGAGGATATCTACCTTTTTTTTTTGAATGTAGTATATTATAAGCAAACAGACATCTCAACTTGCATAGCTGTCACTCTCGCACAATCGGTCGCCCTTCAAAGCTGGTTCCAGTATGTATGTAGAATTCAATGGATTTTATTAATGTTCTTAAAGATTTTTCTTTCAATTGCGCAGGTTTGTGGACATCGGGTGCAAAGCCACCTTGCCATTTCGGTTCGTGTAATTATACCGTTTTGGATGAAAAATTAATCGTATTTAGAAAATTCTTGACTATTCGTACAGACATAAATTACTCTGAAAATGATTATGAATCCTACAGTAAGTAAAATGTTAGCAGAATGTTGGCAGACTGGCAGAATTGATGAGAGCATGTCAGCAAATCGAAAAAAATTTGTTTACATAAACCATTAGATTGACGTCAAATTCAAGCAGATTTGTACAATTAGATAGTAGATTGATAGCGGAAATCAAGTTAAATAGAATGCGATTTTGTGGTTGTTTAAATTGAAATGGTAAAGGAAGGATGGTAAAGGAAGGGTGGAAATTATGGAAATATATTAGGTGTTGGAATTAATTCGTAGCGTTTTTAATGAAAGAATGTTATTTATTTCACATGAGCATTAAAAAATACATTAATGAAAGTACTTCCCATCACTTGTAAAACGCTACGAATTAATTCCAACACCTAATATTATTTTATCTTATTGAAATAACAGTGAAAGGAAACCTCTCACCGTATTGAGCAATTACATCCCACCGCTCGCTTGCATTTGGAGGCAAGCGGATACCCAATACATGCTTATTTGGCAATCTTTAAAAATTAATATTTCGTTGACTGTTATGAAAATTGCAAAATGTTACCGAATTTTTTGACTCACAAAGAACCAAGTGTCTCTCTCTGATTTTGATGAGTTTTTAATATATGTTTTATGAAAATAAGGAATACGTCAATTTTATATATTTACCATACGAATAAAATTTTATAATATCGATGTAAAACCCCCTTCATAGTCGAAAAGCAAGAAATATTTATTTATTTATCTATTTACGTTAACATAAATTCTGCTTGGTTTCTGTCGACAATCTGATGACAACATTGCGTACGATTCGTCTATCTCGATTCTGTCAATCTACCATCAGGTTATATCAGCAAATTTTGTCAGATTTCTATCGGCAATTTGCCGATATCGTCAAATATTACAGATTCTGTATATTTACTGTTTTTCTGCTAGGAAAATTGTTTAACTGACTCTGTTTAAAATCTGTTTATACAGATCCGAAATGCAAGATATATATCTATTTTTCAAATATGAATGTGTGGAAGATGGTATCACATGGTTATTGGAAGTATAACCCATATGTGTATGGTAGGGAACTTATTGATCCAATAATATTCTTTAAAACTGCACCATGTTATCTTGGTAAGTATTATAATTTATGTACTACGTAGATATAAAAGAAACTTAAATTTTACATTAGTATATTTTGCAGAAATTGTTGGTAGAAACATATTTTTAAGAGTTATCAAAGATTCATGCAACAAATTAAAAAATAAACAATGTGTAACAATGAGATACAAGAGTCGGATCAAATTTAAATTAGGCTACAAAAAATCCAATGTAGAAAATTCAATCCTACACTTCTTAAAAAAAAACTGGTTGGATTTGTATCTTCACAGTTATGACCATAATTACAAAACTGATACATGTATAGCGTACCTTGATTTGACAGGCTCGTGTTATAAAAACATACACATACACAGTTTCCCTATAAAAGATACACAGAAATTTCAGTCATGTTTTAATGGTAGGAATAAATTTTTTAGTATAAACGATCCGAATTATTTATATAATTAACTATTTATATAAACTCTAAAGTCGATGTACTTATGAAAACGAAAAAGAGAAAAAAAGAAAGAAATCCTCGAGAAAAAATATTTGCTTCATTACAAGTATTTATAATTATATATTTTAAAATATTTATTAAATATTATTTATGTTAGATTAAATTATTTATGTTAAATTATTTATGTCAGATATTATTTGGATTATTAAATACATATTTTATATCTTATTATTGAACTTTACACTATATCAGTATGTAAAATTCAATTTCTCTTGTCTCATTCCTCGCCAGACTCTTGTCATCTAATTTTATTCTGCATTACCAATAAAGCATGCCATGGGCAGACAGGCAACCTGACTTACTGATGTGTTGGTTGCGGAAACACACTGTATATATATATATGTTTATACTATGAATTTTTTATATATATTTTGTATATACTATGGAAATAAATCTTGAAATATATATTCTTAATAATAATATTAATGTTTAAAAATAATGTTTAATACAAATTTGATAATTGTCAAGTTTAGCTCTCTCACGTGCGATATATTGATAAACTAATGAAAAACAGCGATATAAGCATATAAGTTACTGTCCAAGCGAATTTAATATAAATTTCATTCATATTCCAAGATATGATACATTAGAATCATATTAATAGGTTATTTGGTTGAATTTATTTTAAGAAAAGAAGATTTAATTTTAATGAACGAATTACAGAATTTTATAAAATAATTGGTAAATTATAACAGCGACTGTGACAGCATGTGCTCATATATATATAACTGTTTTTCATCAGTATGACAGGTTTTTCAATCTGTAATCAAAGGATATAGTAGCGTAAAGAGAGGATTTCGGGCCCCGCACATATCGATTGATCGTCACAGACAAAATACTCAGATAAAAGAATATTTTGGAGAAAGTTTTATTCTAAAAGAATCATACCATTTCGAGATATCGAAAATAATGTAATTTTTTATTAATATTTTTTTCTCCGTTAAATCTAAATGGGCTTTTACAAAAAAAATCATGGCTGTATAAAAAGTATCAAAAAGATTATACAGTAAGAACTTTTTTGTCATTCTAGGCTCAAAATTCTGTTCTTAAAAAATTAATAAAAAAATGTTCAAAATCGTAATTCTATATGTATATGATTTGAATATTTGACCATTTCTAAAATAATTTAGCATTACATTATATATTGTATTATATATTAAATTACATTATATATTGTATTTGATATTTTTTTCAAATTTTTGGATTTGGTAGAACATGTCGAGAAAAAAAAATTGTTTTTTCGCCATTTTTCGACCTAAAACATACCAGTTGATATATTTAAAATTGTTGTTAAATATAATTGTAATTATCTTCAATCCTACATCTGTAAACAATGGTTTAACACTTTAATATTAGTAAAACTTTAATAGAATTCGCGTAGGTTAAACAACAATTTCATATTTTTTATTAAAAAAAATTAATTTAAGCATTTATATCTGAGCATTTATTCCATTTTGAGTTATAATCGTTCTTCTCCTTCCTCCTCCCTGAACCCCCTCTCTTAACAGAATTTTTATAAAGGGATTCCTTCAGAGGAGTAGCTCAGTTTGCTCAATATGCGTTTCTCGCTCTAATGAAGCAAACGGCAAAGTTTACGGAATGTTGGCATTGGCAATGGATCACGACACAGCGGTAACTCTTAAACCCTTTGATACCTCTGAAAAAAGTAATTGTTGCAAAGATTATTACGTTTAGTTGGTAAAAATAGGTAACTTTAGGATCATGAAGAAAAACAAAACGAATCGTTTGCAAGTCTCTAATCTTTTTTAATAATTTTTTGAAATTATGATATTCTTATTATATTATGTTTAGTACGTATATATATTATGTTTATTATAATATGTAAGCTAAAATAATATGTATTTTAATATTATGGATATAAAAATAATTTTGTTAAAGAAATTTCATGTTATAAAATAATTTATATAGACTCAATTTATATATAACTTACATAAACATTTTAAATATTTTTTTTTAATTTACAATCGATTTAATAAAATAATATAATATAACAATTACATATAACAACTTTCTTTTTATTATTTATTATTATATTGACATTGATTAAAATGTTTGATCGTTACACGAATTGATATAAAAAAAAATTACTTTAATCTTAAATACTCAATAATTGTGCGTCTAAGAAACCTTTACTAAAATACATATTATTATACCATGTAATTATATCAATCTTATTTATGATATCAGTGATATCTTCTGCGCTGATAAATTATATAATAGTCATTTCAGTCATTCGTTAACAGCTGATAGTAAAACAACATACTTTCTTTAGGTTAGTATAATTCTCTATACTTTGCCTTTAATCATGATATAATCATAATCATGCATTTTAATTAATTATTTGTTAGATCAATGTGTATACACTTATTTTATAAAGAATACTAATAAAGAAAAATAGAAAGTTTTATTAAATTAATAATGTGAAAATTATAATCATTAACTAATAATTGTAGTGAAAATTTTTATAAAGATATAGCTTTAAAATTATATTAGATTTTCTGTCAAGTTAGTTTAGAAATTATTTTTTATTCTTAATTATTAAATTATTTTTCACTTTGATTTTAATTTTTGATTGTAGAATACGAAAAATTAATATATTTTATGTATGAACAACATATCTTTTATATTATATTTATTAATTATAGATTGCTATTAGTTTCGCATAATTTATTTTCGTTTTTCCAATTCCTCAATAAATTAATGGAACGACAAATATATAATTTTATTTAGTATAATAATCTATATAATTTAACTAAAAAAGTGGGCGAAGAATATATAATAATTTTACAAAATATAATTGATGACAATTTTTTCAAGTGTAAAAAACAAGTTGACATTGAATAAGAATTTATCGAACATAATAATAGATAATATTATTTGAAATTAATCAGTCATTGCAGTATTAAATTTTCGCACTTTACACGTATGTCGCATGTTAAAAGATAACTAATGATTATAAATGACGCTTCATTTGCTTTTCGTGATTTTGTTTCCGTAATTCCATATTTTTATTTATGATTTTATCATTTCTTGATAATCGTATGTAGTTATCTATCACGTTCCGTTTTTATGTAAGTTCGTAAAATTCCTTTGGCAAATTCATATACAAATTTTGAAACTACTTCGAGATTGTGAAACTATACGCACAATATTTTAGGAGGTACATAGAAAGATACATTTTTTACTAATACTGAACCTTCTTGAATCAATATTTGTATAATGTAAGTCACAGTTGTCACACAAAACATTTTTTACATAAAACAATAAGTGCATTTGTTAATATTACACATTTAACAAAAATGGATCGTTATTATTGCTATTTTATTATACATAAAAATTGCAATATTTTATTTTTATATATTTTGTATTAAAAATTTTTAAATAATATACTAAGTTATAACTGTCGATGGAAGCAATGTGTAAAGTATTTAATTCTTTATACTTCTTATCATGTTAGATTACAATACGATATAGATTTTATCGTATCATAAAATTATCAACCTTCTTGTTCGTTATTAATATGATGTTAAAAGAAAACTTTATTGCAATAAAAAATTATATTTTTAACATTAAGTAAATTATATTGAATTTAGATAAGTTATTATTTGCGTTTAAAAAGCTTTTACATAAATAATGTAGTATTTTTATAATTATTATGTAATATTTGACTTCCACAGAATTGTAAAAGTGCTCTAATTATAAAAAAATCCTTTTAATTCATGAAAGTTAATAAAAATTTTTATTAATTACAGATTTAAAGTAAATTATAGAATTTAATATGACTAAAATATTGCAAAATTTAAATTGTTTTATATTATTTCATTGAATCAAATAAAATATTGTATCTTATTGTGTCTATTTATAAAATTTAAGTTATTACATGTAACACAGTTAATAAATACTTTTGATGATATTATGTGAATAATTATTAAAAATACAATTATTATATTTGTACAATATATATATATATATATTTGCACGGATATTTATATGATGCTTATGTATAGGTGGTACATTAAACAAAAAATATAAAATTATTAAGGGAAATGAAATAAGTATTTAAAATTTTTGCGACTAAATATACTAGTACAGCCTTTCAAGAAGCTGTGTAACTTTTCGATGAAAATTGTCGTTATTATAAATTTCCGCATTTTCACTTTAATTTATTCAATGTTTTTATTTATATAATGTTTTTATTTAATTGGTTGTTGCAGCCAATTACAAATGCTATGCCATATTTTATCATCTAATTTGCTGCAGCAGCCAATCTTTTCTTTCAGTATATACATGTACATTAAGAAAATTTTTATAAATTGGTATATATACAATTACAAGAAAAATTTGATTTCAGAACTGGTATTAGAATCGAACAATAATGCTGAATATAACTATCAACATTAATTATTTGAAAAGTTGGAATGGAATTGTTAAGGTCCTCCAAGTGGTATATATCATTATTTTATTTATTTATTGAGCTTGTTGTTATGATTTCTTTTATTTCAAGTATTTAATATTAATTTTGAACATGATAGTAAATTAATTATCAAGCAATATCAATTTAATCGTCAATTTTTCAATAAACACGTATGATGACTTTAGATGTAAATAATTCCTAAATAATTGTTGTTGCATCTAATTACATTGCGTCAAAATACATGGCATTTAAAAATTAAAAGATCAATATTATTTCTAGTTTAAAGTAATCAATTTACAAAAAATATTTAGAAACACAAAAGAAATACAATTTTATATTTAATATTTGAAATAAAATTAGAATAAAATTATAGTAAAATTAGAATAAAATTATAGTATTATTTTTCGCTTACTGATTATTATTTGAATTTAATATATTATATTTATCACGATGTTTGTAATTTTCTTAAATATTCTTAAATATTATTATATGTATTGTATGTTATTTATATTAATATATTTTGATATTCTTTATTTATTATTATATTTATAGAACGTTCATATATCTAATTAGTTTTCTAAATTTGTTATATTATTTACTATATTATTTTTTATTATTTACTAACAGATACTGGGTGTGATTTGCATAGGAATTATTGGTAACGAGCTCAATTATGAAATTCTAATTTTATACAGACTATCAGTATTTATATTTTTTTTTGTCGCAATATGTACTTTCTTTATTAACACTTTTATTCTGTATATCAGTAACCTGATATCTCCTTCTGCTGCATCTATTATACCTAAAACAATTTACGTAAGTAATTCCATATACATAAATAAAATTATATGATTTATAAATTGTAATTTGTAAAAATTATTAAATCTATTAGTTTCGTTTAAAATGAAAAAAGTAGTTTGTATTACTTATTCAAAACATCGAAAGCATGAATAATTACAGAAAGCTGTTTAGTATGATTTATTTAAAAAATTGGTAATTTCTTTGAAACTTTCAGGAACTCCTTTATCATTTTATTGCGTCTATATTATTATTTGCGGGTTCAATAGCAGTAATAATTGTGATAAATGAACCTAATGTTGCAGTTAAATATAATGAGTTTTTAGCAGCTTCCGTAAGTATGTCCAATATTATGTATATATTATATTATTCATAAAAGATAAAGTTCTTAATTATGAATAAAAATTACAATTATGATAGAGTAATATTTTACATACATGTATTTATGCAGGATATATGGAAAATCGCCTGCAATACTTCGAGAGATCATTCGGGACTCAAAAAGAAGGAAAAAAGCTATATAAACATAAGTTCGGAAATAAATCGTTTCCGAATTATGATAACCATTTTTATGTTAAAAAAAATTGTAATTTATTTTTCATAATCACAATTGTAATTTATTTCATAGTGTTTTAACATAAATAACTATATTTTGGATTATTTTGGCGTTACTCAGGATGTACCACGTGGAGGCATAGTTCGCTTGGCATCCTTCTAGTAAAGTAAAAAAATTTAAGAATACAGAAATAAAAAAAGATTGTGATTATGAAAAATAAATTACAATTTTTTTAAATATAAAAGTGGTTATAACTTAGAAATGACTTACTTCTGGACCTATTTATATAGCTTTCCTTCTTCTTTTTAGTTTCAAATCACCTCTCGAAGTATTGCAGGCGATTTTCCGGACACTCTGCATATGTAGATATTTATTATCAGTTTGCATATACTAGTTAATCAGTTTGTATATACTACAGAGTATCATAAATTTAAGCAATTATCTATCTGTCGATTATTATACATATAGAATGTCCCAAAATTCGCGATTCAAAATATTGTAAAAAGAAGTTATAAATGTTTTATACATAAATATGTTTTCCAAAATTCGTGATTTAAAATAGACTATCAAGAAAGAGATAAAAGTTTTACATTATATATATATATATATTAGGTGTTGGAATTAATTCGTAGCGTTTTTTAATGAAAGAATGTTATTTATTTCACATGAGCATTAAAAAATACATTAATGAAAGTACTTCCCATCACTTGTAAAACGCTACGAATTAATTCCAACACCTAATATATATATAATATAGATTATAAATTACTTAAATAGTCACTTGTGAGTAATGAATATTAGCGAGCTGAAATGCGCGGTTATCAGTGCTCACTAATTACGAGCGCGACTCATAGACAAATCGTTATCTAAAACTTAGTTATATCTGGCTTATATTTAAATCTTTATCTTTTAATCACAATACGAGAAAAATAATCAATTGTAATTGGTCAATTTTTACTTTTACTTTTTAAACGAAGCTTACTCCGCATATTGTAGAAACGTACATTATTCCAAAATTAAAACAAAAATTTGAAATAAAAATTTATAAACAACTTTATTTCATTTTCCGAAAACTTTTTGCTATGGTATTCTGAGTCGCGAATTTTGGAATACTTTGTATATATTTTTGTCAATTTCCTTACAAAAATCTAATACTGGCTAATTTATTACTAAAAACAGTAATTAATCATTTATTTGAAGTATTAACAGTACTGAACAACAATATTTTTAATATTTACTCAGACAATATATATAATATATATAATATATATATAATATTTACTAAATTGTAGAGACTTATTTTTTGTAAATATTTTTGTGGTCTTAGAGAGAGAGAGAGAGAGAGAGAGAGAGAGAGAGAGATTGCATAAATAATAAATATTTATAATAAGTATTATCGTATAATATTGTAATAAATGCTATGAAAATATTTAATAACTCATTATAATTCAAGTAAGAAATATTTACTAGAACATTCATTTATATTTACCATAAATATTACGTAAAATATTTAGTTTACATTTTAATAATTTTTGAATAAAACATTGTATAAAATATTTATATAATATTAAAAGAAAAAAGTAATAATAAATATGTATGAATATTTATCATAAATATGCTGTCTAGGTAAAACAAGTAATTAATTATTGTCTTTTAGTATTGGTCAGTATTAGATTTCTGTAAGAATTTGAAATTAACTTCTTTTAATGAGAATCTTTATCAAGATCGTAAAAAGTGATGAAAAAATTTGCTAAGTCTAAATATGTTGTATTAAATTATGTGTTCTGCCTTTTATTAGATTGTAAAAATGCATTCATTTTTATTTAGATTCTCACTCTGCTAAATTGCATTTTATACATCTGCAGCACGATCATGGGCTTTAGCACTTATGGAGATGATTAAAAGGTTACAATAAGTTCGTAATTCTCTAAGCAATAAAAATAGATTGTTCTTATACGAATTGTCTTTACACAGGTCAGATACATTTTAGAAACTTTATTTAATTAAAACAATATAAAATGTTGTATGAAGAATTTTGAAACTGCATCAGATTATTCAGTCAATAGATCACAGATTACTTTTATAAAAAAAAATTTTTTAAATAATTTACTTTTTTTCAATTTTTACTCAATCAGTATAATTTTAAAGCTGATGACTTCTTATATTACTTATAAATTATGTTTCTTCAATCTTTTTTGCATTCATAATGTTATTAAAGCTTATTTTAGATGATCTATTTATTTTTAATTCTTGTCAAATTTTAAAATTTTATAATCATAGTCATAATTTTATACTGGTCTGTGCTTTTTTGTATACAGGTATATTTTATATATTTGTGTGTATTCTAATTCTTTAAACATTTTTTGTAACATACAATGTATAAAAATATAAATAGAATTACATTCAAAATTTTACATTATATATTATCTAAAGTAAACTTAACTTTTAGTACTCGCAATATACATAATTATTTTATTTAATTTTTTGAAGTCAAATCGTACTATTAACTCGTCAAACATTTTTGTAATGGACTATGTAATATATTGTTTATCACTTTAAATAAATGCAAATAATTATAATTCTTTATTTTGTAAATTATATTTTATAAAAATTATAATAAAATGCATAATTTTATAATGCTATTTTTTACACGACAATGGATGTGTTTAATATTCGCAAATTTTGATAAACAACAAGAATGAAATATGATGCGATTGTGCGAATATTAAATGAAACGTATCTTTTATAATATGTATCCATTAGTTGTCAATTTAGTTGACAGTAAAAATAAATTGTGCTAAAGCAATGTGTTATTTTTTTTCTTAATATATGAGTAGATAGGGTGTCCCGAAATTTGAGGACAACATTATTACAACGTGAAATTTACTTTGTGAAAAATTAAGTTAAAAAGTCCTCTACTATTTTGCAAGTTTTACAATTTTCCGATTAGAAAATGCAGTACTGAAAAATTAGTAAAAAATCTTGAAAAAATTCTTAGAGCTTTATGAGACAAAAATAAACATTAACTTTATAGAAAAACAGCATGAGACAAAAATTGTTTATTTTTGGCTCATGCTGTTTTTCTGTAAAGTTAATGTTGTTAATAATACTTGAGTGAAAAATAGGTGAAAACTAATATTTGGCGATTTTTAGTAATTAATATCTTGTTAATTATTGCGAAAATTGCAAAATAGACTTTTCGGCTCAGTTTCCCACTTACCTTTTTGTGAGTTATTGCTATAATCTCACCGATATTTGTGATATATATAATGTGTCGTATATATATATATATATATATGACCTCAAGAAAATACTGTACAAAGTAGAGGCATTTTGTATTGATATATATAATAAGGTGCTAAATTTAAGATTACAATCCTTTCGATGCTAGAAGAATATCTACTGACATTACGTGTGGTACGTGTGACATTACATTCAGTAGCACGTAAATTGAATTTCTTTTAACAATTAAACGTGTTGTTAATATCTAGTGTATCCTCTTATTTCAGAGTATTCAAGTTGCTATAATAGAATTTTCTATACAGGAATTTATTTTTCATAGCATTTTTATGTTTATAGAATACGTATTATAAATACACGCGTCTGATTTATGTAAGAGTTTTTGCTCAGAGGACGTGATAAATTCCTCGCTTATCAGAATAATTTTTTGAGTGTATCAAAAGGTATATACCAATCCTATCTTTATGATATCAATGACATCTCCCGAGCTACCATTTATCACGATCATTTTAGTTAATCGTTAACCGCCAATGTAAAACGTGCTTTCTTCAGGTAATATAGTTATGTGCACTGTGTGTTTTATACATATATATGTACACATGGTATAATATAAATATATATAAATAAGGATCAATATTAAATAAATATAAATAAGGTCATGAGTACATGTTTTAATTAACTATTTATTAGATCAATACGTAAGTAATTGTTTTATTTCATCAAAGCTTAATTGTGCAAGATGGATAGATAATTTTACATATTAAAAATAAAGAATAATTATCGTTGATTTTAGGACAAACAATAAAACGAGGCACAATGTTAAATATTATCATTAATACTGAATATTTGAAAAGTTGGAACGGTATTTTTAAATTGCAACAATTGGTATTAATTGTTATTATTATAGTCATTTTTGTTGATTTATTGTTATAACCTTTTTATCAATTTTATCTATAATATTATCTATAATATAGATAATTACTCATTCAGACAGCACAAAGTCCAAAATTGAAACATAATAAATTTTTAAGACGTTGTTTAGATGCCAAAAACGTCTCATTTCTCATTTTGGACACTTTGTGTTGTTTAAATAATATTATCTTTACTAAATATGAATAGTTAATTAATTGTCAATATTTGGCAATTTTTCGATAGAAACACAATAGACAATCTAAAAAAAAAATAATTTTAATATTTAATAATTTTTGCCGTATTTAATTATATTAAATATTTAGTATATTTAGTGAAAGAAATTTTTATCATTGTTAATTTTAAAGCATATAATTTATCCAGAAATATTTTTTTGGAATTTTAAAATAATATTTAAAATAATAGAATAAGATTATTATATTATATTAAAATTATTATTTCTGCTTTTTAGTTGTAATTTTCACTTGAGAAACTAATAATTCTATTGCATTTCCAAATAAACTTTTTTGTTGAATAATATTGAAATAATGTATTAGTAATTTTGATCTGAAGAAATTATATCTCTTTATAATTGGTCTTTTTAATTTTTTATAAACAGGTGCTTGGTGCTATTTGTATAGGAACCATCAGTGATAACATTAATCCTACCATTTTTTCTTTACGTCAAAAGGAATACTTTTTTCTTATTTCAACATCTACTTTTTTTATTGGTACATTAATTTTTTTTCTTAGTTACCTGGTATCTCCATTTACTGCATCCATTTTACCTAAAACAATACACGTAAGTTATTTAAAATAATGCATAAATAAAATTGACTTTTTTTATGTATTTATTTTATTCATTAGTTTTATTTTGTTTATAAAAGAAAAAAAGTTGTTTTAAAGCTAAAACGTGTTTACATATTTCAAATAAATTATTAAAGAAGAGTATTTTATTAAATTTTAAAAATTATATCGATAAATATTTCTCTTTAAATTTTCAGGAATCCTTTTAATATTTCTTTTTAAACTTTCAGGAATCCCTTTATAATTTTTTTGCAACCGTAATGTTATTTGCGGCTTCAATGAGTCTGATAACAGAAATACATACGAGTGATACAGTGTATAATTATAAAGCATTATTAGCAGCTTCTGTGAGTATAATATTATATTTGTACAAAAATTGATTTTAATGCTATAAATTAAAATTGTGTTATGTATACGTATATGTGTATACACACACACACACACACACACACACATACACACACACACACACACACACACACACACACACACACACGCATGCACGCATACACATTCACATATACAAATAAAGCATTAATGCATATACATTATTATATAAAAATTGTAATTTTTATCTTTTATTTAGATTTGTGGTCTACTAAACACCGTTTTATATATTTTCAACGCAATCATCGCCTATATCACAATATGGACGAAGTAATTAGTCCTCCTGATATCAAAACTGTAACATAGTTTATACTGATGTTTGATGTACGAGACCCACTTAATTTATCTTGATTAAAAAATATTAATTAATTTTTAAAATTCAAAATATTATAATTATAACAGAAGAATGAGTTTATGTTTATAACACTAATTTAAATTACTTATAATTGAAGAGGACCAATAAATTCACCGTCAATTCTGGAAAGTTGAATTAAATAATCACGGTTATGATAAAGAGTGAAAATGAATAATATTATTATGCAGGTTGTTGTACTTTACAACTTAAACTTGTCTATCTTAGAAACTTTATTTATTTGAACCGATATGCAAAAATATATAGTTATTGTTATACAATAAATTTTGATTGTTGATTAAATTTGATACTTGATATTTATTCATTTTAATTAGTACTATTCTATAACATAAGTTGTATTACTTTACAACTCTTTAAAACTTTTAAAGTAAATTTTTGAAGAGAAATGTCATTCTTAAAACTTAAAAATTAAGCTACTCTTTTTGAAGACTGGCTCAATTTTTACTCTTTAGTGAGATTTTATTCCAAGAAATTGAGAAAGAGAAGCTGAATATATATCTTAAAAACCTCATTTATTTGTAATGTGTAAAAGTGTACAATAAATCTTGACAGTTAAACTACATTTGATAAGTATTCATTTGGCATTTATTAACTTTAATTAATTTTTTAAAAATATATTAATTAATATGTCATATATTTTTAAAATAAACATGTAATTATATGTGAAATTAAAAAAAATGTGAGCATTAGTTTTTCTTTATAATATAAATTACATTTTATAAAAATTGGAATACATTATACTTTTATGTTGTTATCTTTCATTTAAGTTTTTTTTGTATTTCTGTCAGTTACGCAGAGCGGGCAAAGCATTTAGAATTCTGGCCTGAGTAACACATGCCAGAAATAGACAGTAATTTCCCTTGTGTTGAATGCTATGTGGGGGGTGCAACGACATTCAGACTTTGTGGATGCACAGACCTACACCCTCAGTCAGTTTAAAAGTATTGCTTGTCGTGGTTATGCTGTGTGTTCTTCTAAAAATCACTATCAGAGAACAAAAGTTAAACATTAAAAACAGTTAAATTGTAAATTAAATTGTAAAAAAATTTAAATCTTTCGGTATGTACAATATTATCTTTACATTCTTTTACTTATATTAAAGATATTTTAATTGCTACACTAAAAGAATTATTTGAAAAAAATATTTTTGTGTGTAAGTAGACCGGGATTTATTGTGTCGGGGATTATTAAATTTAATTATATCCTGGACGAAAAGAAAAAGAGAGAAAAAGGAGAATAATTAAATATTAAGTGAAGAGATAATAAAAAAGTGTCAGATCACAAACGAGACAATTTAATGAATGTCACAATTCAGTACAAGAGCATGAAATTAATCGTCAACAGAATTAAAACAACAGAATTATAGGGACCTAACACAAACAATATGGGACCTATAATCAGGATGTCATCCTCTGGTACGCACGGCACGGGCGGTGTCGGTTGCTGCTGCTTTAGATGTTGCACGTGCATACACGTGGAGTTCTTTAAATCATTACCAGGAATCATAAAAGTTTGTGAAACGGTACGTTACAGTTACACGTACATTATTTGGTATACGCAAAGTTCGTTAAAATTATAAATGGCATATAACATAGAATACAACATCCTTATATTCTCATTACTAACTTATTTTCTCTTTTTTTTCGCCTTATTCCTCTCATCTATTTATTATTTATCTTGTTTTAAGTTAAAAAATTTTTAAAGCAACGCGAATAGACTTAATATGTCAACTTCACGCTTTCTAGCAAAAACCATAAGTTTTTTTTATTGCTACATTGGTCTGCAATTCCCTCTCACTTTTACATATTAAACATTTATCTATTTCACTTTAAGTGTAAAGAGTATATATTAGAGACCAATTGTAAAAGCAGACTTGGTTTGGGAATAATGTCATTATTATTAGATACTCTAATAGTTTTTTGTTTACTCTTTGTATTAAATTTTTTGAAATAAAATACACATAATTCTATAGATCTCCATTGAATGTTTCTTATATATAATTTTTAAATATATAATTATAATTTTATTACGCTTATATGTAGTTAATATAATTTCAGGTAATTAGCGGATTAATTCAGAGTTTGCTTATAAACTATGGCTTGGGCTACAGTTCATCTATTGGCTCGGCTTTCGAAGGATCGTTGACCACGGCATCCGCTTGCTTCCTGATTTCCGCTCTGTTACTCGCTTGCTATGCAATTTCTGAAAAATCTTACAATTTAATTC